AACCCAGATTTGCACAGGTACTCAGCCAGACACATCTGATGCTTTGGGCACTATTAAATCTTCTGGTTAACCACCAACCAGCTTATGGGCACCTAATTTTCCACAAATTATCATTCAGAGAACTATCTACCTACGGATGTCACTCCTTATCTGCTGATCACTTCAGGATCTCAATTCCAACACTAAATCCAAATGGAATTTTCACGTGGGATTTTTTTACGTAGGCTTGATCCTTCAACATGCAAGATTTTAAAAAAAATAATGAAGTCTTACAAAAGCAAGACTGAGGGCAGGGTGAGGGAGCTCAGCCAAGAGATCCTGTATGTCCATGATGTACAGATTTTGGATATGCAAAAAAAAGGCTCAAATTCAAAGCAAGAAGCCAATTCATCACACTGCAGATTAATGTCCTAGGCACTGGCTTATCAGACATTTTAAGGGTGTTTCTCTCCTTGGGAGAGACATCTAAGCATCTGCTTAGGCATATGATATGATTTAAGGCTCTTGCCTCCAAGAGAATGTTCAAATATATCCTCCGTTTTCTAGCTTATGATCCCTGATTTAGATACGTAATTATCTTCATGCATTTTACAAGGAGAACAGGTACAAATAGTGCACTGTTAAGAATTACATTAAGTTGCAAAACCAGAGTGATCTCACATTAGAATTCTGAGCAAAAAAAAACCCCTTAAGTACACTTGAGGATGTGGATTTGAGATTTGTACAAGTGAAACATTTAAAAATCTATTTTAAGTATCTGTCCTCCAAGGAAAACAGGTAACATCATTTAACATCCTGGAAGTGGACAATATTCCTATATTAATGACAGACAGTATATTCTGAATTGATACTACTTCCAGAAAATCAGTACATCATTCACTTTGATGAAAAGGCAGTGTCAGTTCTCTGGGCTAAAGACTTCAACATTTAGACCTATGATGAACTTTACTAGAAAATTTGCAGTAGGACAATAAGACTAGGCTACTGATTGGAAATGTTAATTATTTCAAGGAAGAGAAGAATTAATAAAACAGGCTTCTCAAGAAGCATGCAAACTGAAGAGACACACAGTAAAAAAATGAACCACTTTGAGGGGGGAAGACATGGAAACAAAACGTTTTTCCCACAAAGCAAGCTGCAGACACAGCATACGGAGCTGTCCTTTTAGTGAGCTGTGGAAACATAGCAAAAAGCTTTTGAAGAGGTTGCTAGAAACCAATCCGAGATTACCTTCCTTACAAAGGAAGCATGCATTATTAACTTCACATTTCCACCTAACTAAAAGCAGACAAACCTTTTGAACTGACTACTATAACGCTAGTTACCCTTTTGTTAGCTTTATTTTACTTGTCTCGCCTCATCTTTTTTCACCTTTTGTATGAAGATCTCAAAAAAAAAAAAAAATTCCTGTGTGCTACTGAAGCAGCTCTGTTAAAGGAAGAGCAGGTAGAATAAAAGACATAAATGCTAGTGGAAAGCCTGTTGCTCTTTGTCCCCACTTCTATGAAATGCAGAGTACTTATCAGGGCAGGCAGGGCTTCTAGGTCTGAAGGAAGAACTGTGGGGGAAATCTTCTGCGGGACTTGGGATTTTCAGACACAGCACAGCTCAGGACTAGAAATCCAAGTAAAATCAGCTACTGCATATTTACCAAATTCATCTGCCTTTCTCACCGATTCATGAAAACTGCCACATAGATCTGTGCCTTGAGACACTACTGATGTAAAAATAGCAACTCTTATTGCTAAATCCAGTACTGGTCTTGGTCACGCTGGCACTGAAGATGCATTTCAGTTCCTAGTGGTGGAACTGTCATTCGGCCAGCCCCACGGACTGATATACTTACTGCATGTGGAGGCTACAGATGCAGCCAGTCACCTGTCCCCTCCACAGCTAAGAGGGATTTTTGAAAGCGCTGACCTACATTTTGAAAAGCACAGCCAGGAACTGCCTACAGAGAGCAGCTGGACCTTCTGGGTCAAATTATAGTATTCAGTTAAGGAAGTCATCACTTTAAGACCTTGATGGATGAGATGCAAGGTACAGGAACTGGGAAATATAAGGCAAGCAGGAAAGAGAATTAACTAACTACAGTGCGAATTTATTGCATTTATTTATGAACAATATATAGGTTATAAAATTTATTTTTATAAATAAATGCCATGTGCAAAGACTGATTTTATGATGGGGGAAGAAAGGATTAATTAGAAGGTATACAGCCGACCAAAAATTCTGAAAACAGGTACTTCCATGGAGCCATACCTTTTATAAAACGGACAAATAAAGCCCTAAGTTTTCAATTTTATCTTTGAGTAGTTCAGAATTCAATTCACTACTTGAAACTGTTTATAAACCTCAATAGTTTAATTTTATTACTTTGTTTTTATTTATACTTGGCATAAGTTCCAAACAGAACTAACCAAAACTAATACAGACAGGCCCCTTCTGTTTCTGTAGTTAGAAACAAAGTTATTTAAGTGGCTTTAACTAGCTCCTAGCAGTCAACACACAAGTGCCCCATGACTTGATAAAAAGTGACCTTTTAAAAATAAGCAAACAAACAAACAAAAAAAAAACAAACCCAAAGAAAATGTCTGATCTCCCTGCAGAAATACCTAACTACAGTATAATGAAAATCACTGATACTTACATACAGAAGTAGCAGCAGAAATCAACCTTGTATTTGAAACAACACCAAATTCCTGAAGAAAAAGAGTGGTAAATGAGATGAACCACCTGAAATACCATATACTCACACTGTTATCAAATTAAAATAACGGCTTCTTACTAAACTGAGCTTCTTTATGCAGTATTTCTCCCCCCCTCTTTTTTTTTCCTTTTTTTTTTCTTAAGGTGAACAGGGTAAACTCTTAGGTAAAGAGTTTTTTAATCGATTAGTTAGTTTGTTGTTCGAGGAATAGTAAACATTTATGAAAAGTACTTAAGCCACAAAAGCTTAGTTGACTAACACTCTACATACAAACTAGACAAGAGAGCTTCAAGAAGGTACGTTGTTTTTCCTTAACCCACTTGGAGAAAACTGCCTTTAGAAACCTGTCATTAACTACCCTATTTTATTATGTTTCCATGAAGTCTACATATAAACTAGACAAGAGAGCTTCAAGAAGGTACGTTGTTTTTCCTTAACCCACTTGGAGAAAACTGCCTTTAGAAACCTGTCATTAACTACCCTATTTTATTATGTTTCCATGAAGCCTTAGCTTCTCTACTGAGACAATCAGCCAGCTGAAAATTTTCTGTATACAGTGTTCTTTCAGAGAAGTGTGTAGCTGAATCATTACTGCCATAGCTGCCCTCTAAACTTGCTTTAGTGTAAGGAAGGCTGCGCAGACTTTTACTATTTGTTCTAAAATATAAGGTACATCATATACATATACACACACACACAGAGTATACACTCTATGTCTGTACTTTCTTAAAGGCTTAATTAACAGGCTGATAAAAAAATACTCTCTCCAATACTCTACGTCTTTCTCCTTCCACTCTTCCAATCACTGAGAGGTACCACAGGATTTGTACAGACAACAGTATCACGTGTAGACACTGGTTTAGTAGGACTGCTTCTACTATCCACCAGGGATTTGAGTTCCTCCTGTAAAATTCATTTAAGCTGAAGGAGGGTCGACTTAGATTAGATGTTAGAGTGGTGAGGTACTGGCACAGGTTGCCCAGAAAGGTTGTGGAGGCCCCATCCCTGGAAGTGTTCAAGGCCAGGTTGAATGGGGCTTTGGGCAATGTGGTCTAGTGGAGGGTGTCCCTGCCCATGGCAGGGGGGTTGGAACTAGATGATCTTTGAGGTCCCTTCCAACCCAAACCATTCTATGATTCTATGACATATCACAAATGGGCCAATTTGAGGGTTTGGGGTTTTTTTTCCATTACACAGACACTTCTCAAACATCTGAAAAATTTCTTGCGTTATAGAGGACGGAGAGCAGCACCCAGCTGATGCTAAGTCTCGGCCACACTCAAAGTGGGCTTCTAATGGTGGAGGCATGGAGCCTTCTCACCACTATCCCTAATGGGTCAGTTCTTTATGATAATTTCTCAAAGACAGAGTATGAGCTACAAGAACCTTTTAATTCAAGTAATGAAAGCGTGGTGTAAACTAAGAATCCCTCAGTATATGAAAGGGGAAAGGATAATTCAGAAAATTCAAATTATGTTTTAAAGTTGGAGTAAACATAAATAAGGAAACACACACCAGAAAGGAGACACTCGGCAATTTAAGATATAGTGTATGTAAATATGTAAACACTGTATCACAGTGAAATAACCATTTAAGATACTCTTTCCAATTTTCAAAGGCCCTTCAGGGTTAGTAATTCAGACAAAATTGTGCAAGATCAAATACTAAATAACATGTTTGAAGGCCTTCTCCATCTCCTTTTCTTAAATGCTATAGAAATCTATACAAAAAAGAGAAGGTTTCAACCCCCAAAGCATGAAGAATGACAAAAAATTTAAAAGTCCAAAACGTTTTCTCTTTCTCATACATCACAGAATTTTACATTAAAAAATTGTAATACTTCATACCTCTACTTTGGATGCCAAAAACACACACGTAGGAGCCATTAATACTGGATCTATACTTTTTAGGGAATATCTGAAATGTTATAACAAAATTATAATAATGTTGTTTCATACATGTAGAACGATTAATCTATTAAGAGCACCACACTTCCTTTTGAAAAAAGCAAAGCTTAAGTTAACTTTATTAGCATAAAAGCTTTACGCCATCCAGAAAACAAAAGTGGCACTGTTTTTAATACAGAACTGCATTTTAAAAGGGCTACCAAAATGTGCCTAGCAAATGTTTTATTCTTGTACCATCATAGTAAACAGTCCTACCTGGCATAGAATCTCTTGAAGTAGACTGTAGCAGTGGCAATAACTTGTTGTCTTAATTTAAGATGTTCACCTAAAGCCTGGATAACTTAAAAAAAAATGAACAAAAGCTTGAGTTGAGTTTTTACAACACTTTGACACCAAATAGCAATGGATCCCAAAACATGACCAGTGCTGGGGATTCTAAGGAGCAGCAGCACAGTCTTCTCCCTCAGTTCAGATACGTTCTTCTGGTGAGACAACATGTGGCTGTAAACCTACAGACCTGCAGGTGAAGAGGAAGTACTGCATCCTGATGCTTGTGGACACCTTCAAAAAGGGAAAGGTAACTTGACTTCACTGTGTACAAAGTGAGTATGACCTTTAAGAAGATGACAACACAAATCTCAGAAGGGCAAAGCTTGGGTATTCCGTTTTACAGCAAAACAAATTCAAGCACTTAAAATACAAGTCTATGGCTTTTCAGTGCCATGCAAAATGGATGGGTTTTTTCAAACAACTAATGCTGCCAACACAAACATGGTCATTAAATTTGGCAGAGGCAGCAGGTGTTAAAAAAATGACATATTTAGTTTAGGGAGAGGGGGTGGGAGACCAGAGGATGCAGTCAGCTGCTCCATCACAATGGTCCTCTGCCAGTTGGCCAAGAAACAACCCTGGTGTCATCTGTGCAGGTAGCTCTTGTTTGGCCTCCCAGGCAAAGGAAAGGTGCCAAGCAAATTAGATGCAGCAAACTGGGATTAAGAGCAGGGGTTGGATATAGAGAATGGCACAGTGAAACATAAGGTTGTTACTTGTTATTTTTCCCATACTTCTTTGCGATCATTATTCTGAGCAAGGCTTAGCTGTGTTAAGACTCCCTCTTCTTTTTTCCCCCTCCCTCACCAGAAATGTCCAAAATAATAATTTAAAATACACTTAAGTATATATTTAAAATATGTAATGCAAGATCAAGATAGTGACCACTGATGGGAAAAGCAAACAATTCTGCCATCAGTCATCGCCAAATTCTTAGTCTCTACTCAAGCACACAAGTCCAGATTTTTTCCCCTGCTCTTATGCCATATCCCTTGGAAATAATCAGGATACACCCTATTCTCACTTTTAACGAGCATCACAGCATTTTACAGCATGCAAATATCAAAGACATTGTTGGCTAGAAAAAGCCTGAACGTAGGAAAAAAGGAGAAAACCATTCTGAACAGCACTGATGATTAGCAACTTTTTTTTTCCCCCCACAGGAAAAGGTAACCAATTTGTCACCCACTATGATTACCCAAAGCAACATTAAGTCCCTGTCCGTGTCATATCACTCTTTTTCCTAAAGAGAAGAACACCAAATTGTGACTAGCTTGCCAGTCACAGCAGGACAAGCAATACTGCCAGAAAGGAGGTTAAGCCCTGTATGCAACATCTGTACAAATATTAAAATATTTATCAGCATATCTTGGGATGTTTGAAAGGATTTTTCTCTTTGACTTGACCATGGGGCTACAAAGCTGTCCTACTACTAGAGCATCAGAAAAATTCAAATATTAAGCTAAAAAGAATTCTCCAAATATGTTTCTCACTCCCATGGGATTTTCAGGAACAGTTAGGCCATCTGCTGTCAGAGAAAAATCAAGTGTGGTTTAGGGAAAAAAATGGACAAGAGCCTAGAGAGACTTAATGAAATGGAAGCTTGTATATGCTGGG